AAAAAAAAAAAAAAAACTGCTGTGACAATAGATCACACCCATGGGAACCCTGCTGACTTATTAGGTGATCTTTATTCGTATTTGACTTTATTTAAAAACATGTTTTCATATGGAAAAAAAAAACAACATAAAAAGGTTTCCAAGGTATTCTGGTTCGTTTCTAACTAATTGAAGTATTGAATTCAGGAAGCATTCTGACGTCACTGTGTTTTCATGTCCAGGCCCTCCAGTGGCTGAGCTGCAGTACTGCATGGCTGCTCCTCCTGGTCTGCATCCTCCCTGTTGACATGCAGTCCTGCAGCGGAGCGACCCCTGGGATTCCTGGAATACCTGGATCTCATGGTCCCAACGGCAAGGACGGTCCCAAGGGCGAAAAGGGAGATCCAGGTGAGCTCAGCTTAAACAGGAAGTGAACCCCAGATCTTCTTCTAACACCTTCTGTCGTCATTCATATTTGTATATTTTATATATGAAACATTGTGATTCTGATGAGAAGCTTCAATAAAAGTTTATTTTCCTGAACAGGTGAATCAGGTCAAGCTAACAGGGGTCACAAAGGCATGGCAGGTCTGCGGGGCCCACCGGGACGGCCTGGTATGAAGGGGGACGTAGGTCAGCCTGGCGCTGCTGGGTATGCAGGCCAGAAAGGGGAAAAGGGAAAACCCTTCAACCCCTCCAACAAGCAGAAATCCTTCTTCTCCTACCAACGGGCCCCTTCAAATATCGCAGAGTTTAACACAGCTGTTAACTTCAACAGGTGAGAGTTACTGATCCGTGTTGTCCGTTTGAGTGTGACGCTGAGCAGATGAACAATGGTGGAAGAATCCCTCAGCATGCCAGTTTGCTCTGGAAGAGACTGGAGCGCTGATCAGATATGTGTATGAATTCCAGGCTCAAGTTCTGTATTGTTAACAGAGGTTAAGAGCTGGAAATAATTAATGCAAAAAATAACCTGACAAAGCAGCTCATCTAGCCAGAGAAAAAACATGTAATATGTAGCCAACATTTGGAGGAAGAACAGTCGCCCAGTTACCGTTTTCATTGGTGGCAGTTCCAGAAAATGTTAGTGGTTTCCAGGCACTGAGGTGGGAGCATAGCTGCCTAAACCAGTTCAGGGTCAATCTACACTGATCACAATAAACCAGCAGGAAAATAAACAAAGCACGTCTATATTTTCCAAATAAACCACTCTAGAATTTATGGTTCTACATGATATAATAAATGGGTTGAACAATTCTTTATCTTAAATTTTAAAGCAGACTCTCTAAGTGACTGCAGGGACAAACTCTGCCCTTTTGAACATAAAACCTGATTGTTAAAAGAGAATTAATTGTGTTTTAGTAGATTTCTAGTGCAATGTTGTGAATAACCTTTTGCTGCACTTATGGGTTTATTTCCTACTTTGTG